GCGCGTCCGACGAACAAACAGAAAGTAGACAAAAACGTATTGCGTATACACTGTGAGCAGCTTGGCATTGAGCTGAGCTAATAGCAGGATATGAATTATGGTTGGAACGATTTTTATTGTCTGAGTATTTAATGTGGTTTAATCCGGTAGTAAAGTCTACAATGCATATATGTATATATATATATATCATGCTCATGATGATTAATATGGCAGTTGGATGTTTATGCCCAATATAAGTTACAGCCGAGCGATAGCTTTGTGCTCATCACTGATGCAGGCTTTGTGTGCGCGCAACGCGGGGAGAACCTAGCCTGACGTCACAGGCCGTTTTCCACCTGGTGGCCGGTTTGCCAGAATAAATGATTTTCAACATTCATAGACCCAACATCAAGACGTGTTTTAAATAATCACAGAGGCAACCAAAAAAATATACGAATGCTTTCGTTATTTACGTGTTGATACTAGCTTCAAATAATTGTAAAAATTTGACAGTTTAGAGATATCACTAAAGAAGGCCTTTAAACAAGGCAAGTCAAAGGTGGTAATGGAATAGTTTTATTTGAGATATACAGAGTCATTCATCTAGATCTGCAGAGGCGATAGGTTTTTTGTATGGAAGGGTGTCCGGCTGGGTTCAAGGATAGAGAACATGGCGTCCCAATAAAACCAATGTAATTTACATCAATATATATATAATATTACATCCAGGGTTCTCCCACGTTGCGCAAACGGGGCGCGCGCGCCCGTTTGGAAAAAACTCCCCCCCGTTGAATCGTTGGCCCCGTTTAAATTACCTCCTGCCCCGTTGGAAAATTCCACAACAATAAGTTTGACAGCGCGCGAATCGCATCGTCAAGAAGTTACTATTCGACCAGGACAACGGCGCATGATATTTTTACAGTACCACGCATTGCACTGTAGACAATACAACAGTCAACCTGTCCCTTACAGACTTACTGTACACCGACTCGGCTATATCTTATATATACAAGAACCCAAAATACCGTCTATGGTGTGGTGCGATTTTACGCATTAATTAGTGTTACGCTAAAAACACGCCCCCTAGTTCCCCCCCCCTCCCCTTCCCCTCCCCTCCCCCCTGTTTGAATTTCATCCTGGGAGAACCCTGACATCAATATAATAGGTTAGGGTTATGGTTAGAGCGTTAGGATTAGGTTAGGTTAGGGCGTTAGAGTTAGGGTTAGAATTAGCGGTTCGTAGTTAGTTTAGGCACATTGTTTTATTGGGACCCATTTCTCTATCCCTTGGGCCCGTCAGGCTGTTATAGACAATCCGTCGCCAGTCTGGTCGGGCTAAACAATAGCCCTGGTTCTTCCCTTTAAGACCAACCCTTCGAAAACGATTTACTGAAACCCGTAACGTTTATTTGACCATGATTTTATTAACCCTGGTTGCTTTCCTTCCTATCATCTACTGTATTCTGAAGATTATCTTTCATTAGATTGTGATGTATATTTTGAGGATGGTAAGGTTTTTTAACTTATGCTTAGGAAAATATCATAATTACACAATCTAAATTAATCCAATTCCAACAATCTTGGCATATTAATAAGGAAGTGACTATTCTTACGGAAGTCCGTAAAGGAAACATCTGGTTCTATTTTTGCGTGATTCGACAATCAAACATCATCATCATCATCATTCTAGTTTAAATTATCCATGCCCCAATTAAACCTCTAACGAGGGTGTGGCCTGTCTGACTTGTCTTCCTCGAAGACGCCCTCTCCACACAGAGCGGTTATGAGGGTCTGTAGAATCCATGCCAAGCTTTGCTCGGTCATTCTTCACCACTTTATCCCATGTCTTCTTTGGTCTGCCTGCTCTCTTCTGCGCAACCACCTCAATCTAGCACGCCCGGGCGATCCAGCCTGTGCTACGCTCCACATGCCCTAGCCACCCCAACCTATTAGAACGGAGCACCACGTCCACATCCTAGATGCCCAGCTACGCGAGAAGGGAGTCAGAGCTGACTTCGTCAGCCTTGACGTTGCAGATCCAGCGAATCATGGCGCGGTCGTTTCGCCGAAGACGGTTTAAAAATTTAATTCATTTGTTCATTTCATGATTCAATTATCCATTTCATAAATCAATTCAAAATTTCAATCTTTAATTCGTCATTTGATTGTTCATTTCATCATTCAAATAATTTATTTCATTAAATTAAACATATTATTCATTTGTTCATTTCATGATTCAATTATCCATTTCAAAGTGTCATTTGAAATTTCATCTTTCGATTCTTCTTTCGATTCATCATTCAATTTTCATCACGTGATCACAAAATATAGTCTGTGCATGCGCTACAGGAAGCACGTAAAAACAGAACTGGATGTTTCCTTTACGGCCTCCCGTAAGAATAGTCGCTTCCTATTAATAAATACAAGTGGTAATGTTTTTTTTAAATTTTCATTAATTATATTTCCCAAGACTGATTTTTTTATTGGCTTTGTATCTTACATACGTCATCTATTTTTGTTTGTATAGAAATTCTCTCATGTGTAACACTTGGAGGTATAAGGTTGGCATCAAAGAAAGCTGCAAGTGCAACAAAGAATAAAGGTAGAAGAACACCTGGAAAATCTCGAGGTATAAAGCGATGGCCTGGACAACTTGTTGAACCAGGAATGGTAATCATGACACAGTATGGACTTAGGCTAATGCCAGGAATGAACGTGAGTGTAAATAGTTATATTATGTGGCATTTCGAAAAATTTTCAATATTCCAAATTAATTCTATAATATTTTCTCATTTTGTATTACAAATACATTCATGCATGCGTATAACAGCAGATTTATTTGCTATTGGTACTTGTTCATGACCTCAGCTAGCTCCAAGAAACGGTATTGCTAGGGTTAGAATTGTGTATTGACGTTAGTCACACAGCCTGGTCGGATTAGACCTCAGCTAGTGCAATAAAGTATATCATTTATAGGTTGGGATGTCCGGAAACTGTACACTGTATGCCCTGGAGAGAGGAAAAGTCACTATCACTCTGGAAAAACTCCAACTGAACCCAGAAAGTGCTATGGTAAAGAAATTCTTTGCTCATCGATTGAATGCACCAGCCATCTACAAAAAATTCATGCATGTAATTCCTGATGAAATACAACCAAAGTTCAGACTTATAGATCAAGTTTGACCGTTAGTGTAGTTTTCTTCTATAAAATAATTGTACTTTGCTTCAAATGCATTTGGTTCTATGTTGGAGAAACAACATTGCTTCAGTAATATCTATTTGTAGTATGGAATATTGAATCTGTGTTTGTCTGGTATACAGCCTATGATATGTAAGAATTCTTCTATGTTGCTACTTCTTATATAATGAAACTTGTTGTATATTGAAATAAATATATGTAAATTATATTCTAATTAGTATCGCTTTGTCTTTACACGTTGCATGTGCATATACACTGTGACACATGTAATAACCATTTGAAAGTAGGGCTAGGACTATGAGATGTAATTCTACTAGAGTAGTGGTCAGAGTTTTGGAAATTTCTCTGTGTTAGTCTTGTTAGGTTCCTCTAATTTTTGCTTTGTATCTAAATAATTGTTATCGGTTTCTGAATTGCATGGGTCACAATCACCTATATCTGGCAATAAGCACTAAAATCATTAGCATCTCTGAGCATTACACCACACAGTGGCGCCCGCAGATAGAAGCACTGGAAGCACAGTGCTTCCAGTAAATTTTTGGTTAACAAATTTTGTTCCTACATTTTGTTCCTAAATCTCTCTCGCAAGACTCACCAGATTGCATCTCCAGACGTTTACCATTCAAAGATTTTTAGGGGGGCATGCCCCCAGACCCCCCTAGCATGCAGTGCGCCTACGGCGCTTGCTTTATATTATCACTGAGGATTTTATCCTTCTGTGCTTCTACTTTCTTAAGACCTGTAGGCGCCAGTGACACCACACAAAACATGTGGAGAAAAATTTTCAGCACAAACTGCATTAAGATACACATAATATACACATGATACTATGAAATGCAATCGCAATATTCGTTAATAATTAGGTGCCAAGTTTACCGATCTTTCCTAAAACACGAGATAGCTTATAAGCGTCACATACGTCTGTGAACATGCTGAGTATCTTCTGAAGGAAATCACGTATTGTTCGAAATATTTATTTTTAAAGGAGTGTGAAGATGCAGGAAAATATTTATGTAAATAAATCTGAATTTCTTTGCTGCTCTTAAACGATTATAAGGCATCCAATCCTCCCAACATACTAATTCCCAACAACACTGAATGTATACTTTACCTTGCCGTTGGTCGGCGCTAGTGTCCTGAATAAGTAGAATCATAGATATATACAACACATGTGTTGTATATATCTATGGTAGAATACATAATATCAGGAGTGTATAATATGAGCGGCATATAAAAACAACTGTCAACTAAATGGGGCGTATTTATTTACCCTTGATTATATGCAGAGGTTTGTGGTAAACGTGCACAAATAATATTTTCTACTACAAAGTATTAATGTATAAGTTCATGATGCTAGTTGTGTCAGGGAAGAACATTGGTAGATACGTTGCTACAATAGGTAGCTCCAAGAAACGGTATTGCTAGGGTTAGAATACCATGTATACCACCTATGTATACCACCTAATGTATAGACAATCTGTCGCACAGCCTGGTCGGGCTACTACAATAGGTAGGTCAGGTAGCTTTCAAAGACTTTCTGTATACATGAGACCAATTGCGATCTCTCGCATTTGCGATCATTCGGTTGGTTTATTGCCACGAAAATAAAGCTGCGATTTGACCTTTTCTAGTCAAGGTTAGTGTCGATTGCAGCTGCTAATGGGTCACAATCTTACAACACAATCGTTAATTTTCCCGTCTAAGGATGTCACGACTGGTTTTCTTACTTCTGGTTCCACCCGAGAACACCCCACATGACTACCCGCCTTACAGACACTCCTGTGCTTATTACAATACCGACAATCCCTGCCGGGCCCCGAAAGTTAGTCGCCAGTGCGCGGTTGCCGAGTAGTTTGGCAATAGCGGGCAAACGCTGAACCGAGAACGTGGTGTTGTGTAAACGTCTTCGACGCTCAGTTACTGAGATGTAGGCAGAGGGATGCGAGTATCCTTATTTGTGGGAGATTTATGCGCAGTGATGATGAAGAGGATAATGCCATCCAGCTTCACTTGTTGGGACTTTGCCGTCAGGCGGCACCTACACATGCTGATATGCGTTCTGCTTATGCAGACCACGGCATTCGCAACGGGACATGTCGTAGAAAGTTTGACGACGGCTTGCGATTGGAGAGGAAGGTAATATATATGACTGCATCGATAGTGACATGTTGATATCTTGTTTATTTTTTGCATTTCATTAAGTTGTTATATTTCTCCTTATTGCATGATGTAAAATTGCTTTGAATACGTAGACAGTGTTTGCGCAGTGTTTATTTGCATTTTACGCGATATTTCCGCAGCGAAATAGAAGAGATAACAGAAAACATTCTGTTATCGATTTTTGGCATAGCGCACAACTTACTCCATAAAATACACTACAATATATTACAATAGATTACTATATATTACAATATACTTATATATGCATGCGTTGCGGCGAAGCATTGATATATATATATATTTTGTGTACTCACATTCATGGAGTGTCTGTTATTTAGTACAGTTGATTAACCAATTCATTATTATTGCCGTCGGTCTTATTAATGTTTATTATTGGCAGCTCTAGCAATGATTCATGAAGGCTAATAATATACGCTATATCTTGCCTGTGTACGTAAAGAAATTATGTCGTGGGTTTGTATAAATTAGCAGGCTCCATTCAATAATATTCAACCAATTACGTACATTTTGAATAGAGCCCCGTGCATGATATTCAATGCAGGTATAAGTATTTCAACTGTGACAAAAGCAACAATGCCAACGAAACAGCATTCTTTTCTCGCATTGTTACTGCGCATTTTTCCTTGTTCTTTTTTTGTTATAAAAACCAATCGCTCCCGTAAGCCGCCACTGCTAGGTGAGGTCTCTGTGTCAATGCAGAAAGGTTCGAGCATTATCCTGGGTAGAATGCTGTTTGGGGGCCTTTGCCCCGCGCTATTGTAATCCACTTACCGTGGCAACAATACGCGCTCTCTCGGGCTGTATGTACCCACCTCCGCCAGATTAAACGGTGATAACGATGTCCAAGAAAGCGTTTCGGATTGCTATAGCTGCTCGTGGGGGAGGTAATAGCCGCGTAAGGCACACCGACGATGGCTTGTTTCGCGGAGAACTAAAGCTGTCAAGCTGCATCACTTAAATCCTGTCTCTGCTGGTCAGGGAATGCTCGCGCGTTCTCTTGGGATAAAGCGGGAGCGTGATTACGCACGTGTGTTTTCGTTTCGATCAGCTGCGTACGCGCCATTTAGGAAAGTTCTTCAATTTGATCCTAAGCTGGTATATCCTACCTTTATTCCGTGTTTAGGTAAACCATAATCGAACCATTGGTAACCAGGCGATCAATACAGTCAGCCAACGTTGAAATGTGCTATCTCTCTCTCCCTTTCCTCTCTTTCTTTCTCTCTCTCCCTCTCTCTCTATCGATCTATCTAATTATCTCTCTATCTATCTATATATCTGTTTCTCCCCTCCCCTCTTCTCTCTTCTTTCTTTCTCTGCCTCTCTGCCTGCGCAGCGCGGCGTACGCAGCGCTGCGCGTGTCGTCGTGCGTGGCGTGCGTGCGTGCGTGCCCGTTGTTGGAGTTGTGCTGCGTGCGTGTGTGTGTGTGTGTTGCCTGTTGTGTGTGGTGTGTGTTGTGACTCTGTGTGCTGTTAGGTAAGTCTCCCGTGTTTAGGTAACCATAATCGAGCATTGGTAACCAGGCGATCAACACAGTCAGCCAACGTTGAAATGCGCTATCTCTCTCTCTCTTTCCTCTCTTTCCTCTCTTTCCTCTCTTTCTTTCTTTCTCCCTCTCCCTCTCTCTATCGATCTATCTAATTATCTATCTATATATCTGTTTCCCCCCCCCTTCTCTCTTTCTCTTCGCCTGCCCTCTCTGCGAGCGCCGGCGCCGCGCGCGCGTGTGTGTGGCTGTGATGCGTTTGTGTGTTCGTGCGTGTGTTTGCACGCCGCGTGCTATACCGTGTGGTCTGTGTGCGTGTGTATGATTTGTGTGGCGGCGCGCTGCGCGGTGTGTGTCTGTTTGTTGTGGTGCCGCGTGTGGTGACTGTGTGCGCGCGTGTGTGTGTGACGTGTTGTGGCGCGGGTGTGTGTGTGCTTGGTGTGTGCCCGTGTTGTTGTGTGTGCCAGCGGTGTGTGGTGCGCGCTCGTGTGTGGTGCCCCTCCTCTCTGTCTCGTGCCGGTTGGTGTGTGTGTGTGTGTGCATGTGCGCGCGCGTGTGTGTGCGCGCGCCTCGCGTCTCCCACTCACTCCCTTCAGCTTCTATACTTCTCGCATTCAGTCTAGTAATTACTATAGATATAATCAAGAGCTAATATTAGGTAAGGTAATTAAGGTATTATTAGGTCTTGATATAATTATATACTACACGATTATAATGATGTAAATAGTCAAAATAAAATCGAGTTAGTTAAAGAGATATATATATATATATATGTATATATATATATATATATAAATGTGTACGTAGTAGCCGATGGAACATGCGTGCATAATTACAATATATTCTCGATTAATGTCAGCCTTGGAGCACTGCTTCGTGAGGACGGGCGTTCCCTCCTTACGCTGCCGTTGCAAAACCCATCACGATTTTATCTTTTACTTACACGAAGATAAGCACGTGGTTTACCTATCGATCATGGCTGAGTGACAAGGAAACGGCCGAAGTGTGCTGCACGCTAGCCGTAGGTATCACACCCAGGGGTCTACCTGTCTACGCGCGTGCGCTCAGGGGTAGCGCACTCGTGATTACCAATTTCACAAGCGACTTGAAATTAGCGCAAGATATACGCACAGACATGTGGCCAGGTCTAAGATTAATGTTCCATCGCTCAGCCCATACCCGAGGGCCCTAATCCGCATAGCTGTGTAACGATAAAGGGTCCCACCCTAACAAGAGCCGGTATACGCAGCTATAGGCTAACAAGCTAGCGAAATTCGTTGAGATATCTGTCCGGACGGGCTCTAGTTATCAAGTCTAGATGGTCTGGTGCGTGTTGTATCTTGCATGCTTGTTGAGATGTTGTGGTTAGTTCATTTACGAATAATAATTATATATTACAATTACACAATCAAAGATAATTTCGCAGTTTTAAACTGCGACTGGAATTTTAATGACTATAAGCAGGGATAATGCTTTCGAACAAATGCGCGCAAAGCCAGGGATGCAGCTATCTAGTCATACACACACGCGCAGGACTCAATCAATGTGATATCTCTCTCCCATCGTACGGGCGAGGGATATTATAAGTGACCACTACACACACGCACGCACGCACGTACACACACACAAGCACGTACGCACGCGCACACACGCGCGCGCGCGACTCCCCTATACGTCTGTGCACTTCTTTCATTCCCGTCTCCTTTTTGTCCGTTTAAGTATTATTATAGTATATATTGACTCCGTCAAGCTGATGTCCGCGACGTTGCCGTCCGGGTTTATTTTCAATAGGTTCATCCAGGTTGATTTTCATTAACAGCGACTTACGCGGAGACACCGCATAGTTTTCGCAAACACTATTTTCGTGCCATCGCCATCTCCATCTTCGTCTCTAACAGCACCGTCGCCATAATTATATTTTCCAGTTCGCCCTCCACCGATCCCGACCTGCGACTCGTGAAGCCGATCGACCTTCGCTGCTCCGAAGGTTACGTGCAGTGGGTGTACCCGTACGGCGCTCTGCGCATCACGCTGCAGCAGCGCGCGGGCAGAGACTTCTACGGCTGCATACGGGCCGACTGCGACTTTCGCGGCGCGCTCGTGTACACGATGGACGGAGCGAGCCTGCGCGTGCTACTGAGTCCACGAGACGGAGAACCGCTGCAGCGAGAGCGCTGCTTTCACTCGCAGGGCGGCCGCGTCGTGCTGTTCATGGAAGCGGAGCTCGGCAATAACCTCGTGAAGAGAAACACGGCCGGCTTCCGCTACGATCTCAACATGCGGCCTCCGCGGGAGGACGACGAGAGCCTAGAAGGTGAGATTCCCGCCCTATATCACCGGCGCAGCATGTGTTGCCCTTGTACACTGCCACACACACACAGCGAGAGAGAGAGAGAGAGAGAGAGAAAGAGAGAGAGAGAGAAGGAGAGGGGAAAAAAGATAATCCGGGATGGGTAGGGGGTGAGGCAGAGTGATTGAGTGAGTGAAAGAAAGAGAGAGGCAGACAAAAAGAATGAGAGAGAGTGCGAGAGACAGAGAGAGGGGGGGAATGAGAAAGAAAGAGAGTGAGTGTAAGAGACAGGGAAATGAGAGAAAGAGTGTGAGTGTGCATGTGCGACAGAGAGAGAGAGAGAGAGAGAGAAAGAGAGAGAATGGCAGCGAGAGAAAGAGAGAGGGAGAAAGAGTGTGTGTGTGTGATATAGAAAGAGAAAGATATATATAATATCCTCTATATGTATAGCTTATTAACTGCGCAACAGGAGGTCTGTGGAGACCTTGGCATGGCCCCGTGGGGCAGGTCCGGCTACGGGACGAGACCCGCTGGGGAGCGAAGAGAGAGAGAGAGAGAGCGAGAGAGAGAGAGAGAGCGAGAGAGAGGAGGGGAGAGAGGGAGGGGGAGGGAGGGAGGGAGGAGAGAGAGAGAGAGAGAGAGAGAGAGAGAGAGAGAGAGAGAGAGAGAGAGAGAGAGAGAGA